CCACACCCCCCCCCGCATGGGAGTCCCGGCAGGCAGGGCCCCACGGCGCCCACCGCGACCCCGGGTTCGCTGCGGCCTGACAGGGCCTGTCCTGCGGCCCCGCCCTCCCACGGCCCCGGATCGCCGTCGTCCCCACTCTTGGCCTCCGCCGAGCCAGGCGAAAGGCCTCGGACCGACGGACACTGCGGAAGGCCTGGGTTACCTGGGGGGTTGCTGGTGGCTGGGCAGCTTTCCGGGCGGGAGGGGGGGCGTCAGGGCGAGGAAGAAGAGTGCGGGCGCAGCCGAAAAGGGCGGGGGCGGTCGGCCCAGGCCCCGGCAGGTAGCGGGTTGGACGCGGCGGTGCAGACGCGCTAGCGGCAGTAGCGGTGGCAGCGGCGACTGCTCCTGGGGATCCCTCAGGATCTTCCTCGGGCAGGTCCAAGATGGCGGCGCTCCCTGCACAGGGTTTCCTGTCACCCTCGCAATGGGCCGGACCACAAAAGAAGGGGGAGAGGGATGCGCGCGCAGCTGGCGGAGCCCGGAAGAGAGTGGCTAGGCCCAACCTGATAAGCCACGCCCCTTCCTCAGTCCTCCCATCCTGATTTGTCGCGCTGCCGCGAACGCCCGCCCACTGGCCCTCACGCTTGAGGGGGCGGAGAGAGCGCTCATGCGCAAGCGCAGTTTACTGAGGAGGTCTGTGTAGAAGTTGAGTGAGGTACGTCTGGTTCTAACAGGCTTGGGTTGTCATTTTGAGAACTTTTAACTATTTTTAATGCCAGCAACTACCACTTACTGGACACTAAGCGCATAGTTACTGCATTCATTCATTCAACGTGTATTTATTGAGCACTGTACATGAGGTCCCTGGCCAAAATCCCAGGAGGTACATATCCCCATTTTATCGATGACAAAACTGAGGCTCAGGCCCTGACCGGTTTGGCTCAGTGGATAGAGCATCGGTCCTGCGGACTGAAGGGTCCCGGGTTCGATTCCTGTCAAGGGCATGTACCTTGGTGGTAGGCACATCCCCAGCTGGGGGTGTGCAGGAGGTGGCTGATCGATGTTTCTAACTCTCTATCCCTCTCCCTTCCTCTCTGTAAAAAATCAATAAAACTTTTTTTAAAAAAAGAAAAGAAACTGAGGTTCAGATTGATCAAGTCACTTGTCCAAGATCATGCAGCTAGGAAGTGGCACTTTCCGCCCTATGTTTCTCTTCTGTCTCTTTTAACTTTTGGGAGTGCCTTTGACAGGAAAAGAGAAATTGTAACCACATTTTTCTCAATTTGTTCGTCGCTTCCCATATTTCAATTTGGGCTGCTATTATCACCTTCCCAGAAAGTGTAGCACACCTTATGACTTTTGTAGGCCCGGAGCACTTTTGCCTTGTGCTTGTGGAAATGTATATATATATATTACAACTGCATTGGTATAGAGATGAATGTATTAATGTTATATAGCAAAACATTTTCTTTGACCTAAAAGTTTATTTTTCTTTCTGGTTTTAAAAGAACTTAAAACATTATTGTGGGCCCCTAAAAGTATTTATGAGCCCTGGGCACTCTGCCTAACAGATGAGACTACTCTGCCTCAGTCCCCCAAAATGGAGTTCAAGCTCCCTCTTAGCATTCAAATCTTTCATAAGCTGGTTCTGTCATGGGTAAGTTAGATTTCATTGGAAAAGTGTATGGCAATTTACAGATCTATTTTCAGAAGGACCTGGGTGCAAATCCCTGTTCTGCAACTTACTAGTGATATGATGCCATTGGGCGTGCCATTTGATTTCTCAGATCATCAGTCTCTTCTGCAAAATAAGGGTGATAATATCTCACAAGGGCCTTCGTAGAATTAAATGAGACAATATATGCAAAATGCTTGGCATACAAAAATTTAATATATGGGAATGGTTATTATAAGATAATCTAATATAAAGTAATATTGATATCCCTTCCAGCCACATAGGTCTATTGCTATGTTCTTTAGCTCTAATAAATAACTTGTGGTCACAATTGAACATCTCTGAAATCAGGAAATTTGTGCCAAATAAAAGAAGCTGTGGACCAATTGCCCTTATTTGTGCAGCAATGGACTTAGGCTTGCGTGGAAAGTTTCTGTATATCCAGTTGTCACCTGAATTGAAACCTAATGCATAGCTAATGCTTATTGAATTTATTAAATGCCAGGTAACTTATAATGTTCCAGGAAATGTCCTAATAATTATGCATAGTTCCTTATTTAATCCCTACAACAACCCCATGAAATTGGTGCTACATTCACCTATTTTATGAATGAGAAAACTGAATGTCATACAGGTTTAAAGTCATATAGGAAAAACTGGTAGTGCTGGGATTTGAACTCAAGCATGTATCACTTCAGAGCTCCCATTCCTAGACACTATTCCATACGTCATCCCTTATATGCACTTGTAGCAGTTTAAATGTAGATTCTAATTGCTGCTGAAGTCTATGTCAAAGACATTAAACTTTTATTCAGCATTAAAGATAAACTCTTGTGAATACAGAGTACCTGTCACATGCTAAGCAATGCAATTAAAGTAGAAAGTGTCAATTCTTGTGATAAGTCACAGAATTTTCAAAGTCAAGAGGGACTATGTGACCCATTGCATCATAAAGAAAGACTATCCATTGGATGCCAAACATCTGTCAGGATTTCTAGTTAACTTTTTTTAAATGCTGTTTATATGAAGAGATGTATACACAAAATAGTCATTGCAGCACTGTTTATACTAGGAAAATCCTAAAGACAAACTATTACTAGAAAGCTGTTATAATAAATTTTAGTACACACATATTATGGAATGTATGCAGTGCAGCAATTAAAAGAAATGAGGTACATGTATATGTCCTGACATGGACAATTTCTAAGAAATGCTTCAAGTGAAAAATACAAGATGCAGAAAACTAAAGAGTAATGCCAACATTAGTTAAACTAAAAGGAAGGGAAAATAGACATGTGTTTGTGTGACTGAACATTGAGAGAGACTTTTCCTGTTGTCTTGAAACTGCTGCTGAGGCCCAAATCTGATTTAAAAAAAAAAAAAGTCCATAGGAGCCCTGTTCTGCATTTAAAAATTGCCAGTGGTTGAAACCAGCTCTATTACAGCAGGGCGTTTGAAGAACCATTACTGTTCTACCAGCCCTTCCACCAACCCCTCCTCCCTACCTATTCCCCATTTCCACCTCTCTCCCCACAGACAAACCATCACCACTACATGGAAAGAAAGAATGGGAGATGGGAGGGAAGTCAGCTTTTAGGGAAAATGAGTGTTCTGTAAAGACCCATCTTTTTCTCTTCTTTCATGAGAATCACTAGTGAACATTGGGCATGCCTGTAGAAGAAGAGACTGGCAGCCTCCCTCCAAACTGC